AATTCAGGTACCTGAGATTTTCAGTGGCTTAATTCAAGATCCTGAGATTATCAGTGGCTAAATTCAAGATCCTGAGAATTTATTTGGCTAAATTCAAGTACCCTGATCATTTCAGTGGCTAAATTCAAGTTCCTGAGAATTTTAGTGGCTAAATTCAAGTTCCTGAGAATTTCAGTGGCTAAATTCAAGTTTCTGAGAATTTCTGTGGCTAAATTTAAGTATATGAGAATTTCATTGACTAAATTCAAGTTCCTGAGAATTGTAGTGGCTAAATTCAAGTACCTGATAATTTCTGTGGCTAAATTCAAGTTCCTGAGAATTTCAGTGGCTAAATTCAAGTTCATGAGAATTTGTGGCTAAATTCAAGTACCTGAGAATTTCAGTGGCTAAATTCAAGTTCATGAGAATTTGTGGCTAAATTCAAGTACCTGAGAATTTCAGTGGCTCAATTCAAATTCCTGAGAATTGTAGTTGCTAAATTCAGGTACTTGAGAATTCCAGTGGCTTAATTCAAGATCCTGAAAATATCAGTGGCTAAATTCAAGATCCTGAGAATTTCATTTGCTAAAATCAAGTTCATGAGAATTTGTGGCTAAATTCAAGTACCTGAGAATTTCAGTGGCTCAATTCAAATTCCTGAGAATTGTAGTTGCTAAATTCAGGTACCTGAGATTTTCAGTGGCTTAATTCAAGATCCTGAGATTATCAGTGGCTAAATTCAAGATCCTGAGAATTTATTTGGCTAAATTCAAGTACCCTGATCATTTCAGTGGCTAAATTCAAGTTCCTGAGAATTCCAGTGGCTATATTCAACTTCATCTTCTTGTTTCTTTCGGTAAAGTCACGTAGAAGGAAAGTAATAAAATAATAAAAATAAAACATATATTCAAGTTCCTGAGAATTGTAGTGGCTAAATTCAGGTACATGAGAATTGCAGTGGCTAAATTCAACATCCTGAGAATGTCAGATGCTAAACTCAAGTTCCTTAGAATTTCAGTTGCTAAATACAAGTTTCTGATAATTTTTAATGATCAACTCGTGCATTAAATTCACCCAACAGTATGACTCTCTCCCGAGGGGCCACTATCTAGCACCTTTGATAGGTCATAGAAGGCATCTGACTCATCGGCCTTGCCTGCATCCCTCTACTGATGTTCATCTTTGGTGGGGGCATAAGTAACCAAGACTACCACTCCTCACGTTTGGTTGATGGGAAGGTGAGCCCAAAGTAGCCTGGGGCTTGACGCTTCCCACACCTCACCGCCTCGCACCCATGCCCCCTTCATTTTGTTTACTCCAAAGAGAAGCCACTTCCTATTCATATTCTTTGGGTCTTTCGGTAAAGCCACGTAGATAGAAAAAATAACAAAAATCTAAATCACAACGTTTCGATCGCAACACAAGCAATCGTCTTCAGGTGAAAAAGAGGTAAATCTCCTGAGGCAGGCTGTTCATAAAGGTTTAGAGATGGGCGGGACAGCTAATGTTAGCGGTTCGAAGAGAGCGAGTAGGAGAGAGAAATTTGCTTGCAAATGTAAGCTCGGCGAGGGCCAAGCTCGGCTAGGGCCCGGAAATTTGAGAAGTGACAGCAGCAGATGTGAGTGTAAAGGCATTACCTCAGCATCGCAAACAGCTGCCCCGCCCATCTTTAAACCTTTATAACCAGCCTCCCTCAGCAGATTTCCCTCTTTTACTCGCTTTTATTTAACTCACTCCGTCTGTTGTATCCTCGAAAAAAATATTATAAGTCAAATTTTACCCACTTCCCAATGTGCTATCGATTGCAAACTTGAAATATCTGTCATACTGATGACAAGACTATATGTTATCATACAAAAATAAAAATATATATTTGTAAACATTTTAAATGCTTTTATTTTACTCACTCTGTTGCTGTATCCTCAAATCCTGTAACTCAATTTCAACCGTATTCCCAATGTCGTATCGACTGCAAACTTGGTATAGGTATGTCATACTGATGCCAATACTATATTCTATCATAAAAAAATATTCTTTAACAATCTTTATTACGGTTCTAATTGTCCACGTTTAAGGCTATAATTGTCCACGCTCAACTCACGTTGCCTGTAAATCACCACGGTCCCTTACGTCACGGCAAGCCTTGCGGAGCCACGCCGAGGGGCGGGGGATGTGGAAGGAGGGGAGGGGCGATGGGGGAAGGGGGCAGGGGGAGGGACAGCTCGGACAGTACATTTCACTAAAGCGTGGTTTAAAAAAAATTGTATTTTACTTCACCTGAAGACGATTGCTTGTGTTGCTATCGAAAAGTTGATTTTTATTTTGGTTATTTTTTCTATCTACGTGGCTTTACTGAAAGACCCAAAGAATATGAGTTCCTGCAGTCACAAAAGCTTTTTCAAGATTCAAGCCACTCCCTGTTGTTTGGCAGTCTCCTGCCCCAAGTAGAGGACTGTTCACCCCTCATGGTGGCAGGAGCCAGAGCCATTCCACCAGACCTCCTGAATACCGCAGAGGTCCAGGCGGTACCGGTCCAGCTACCGACAGAGGAGTCGCAGCCTCTCCTACGCAATGAACATTTGAACATTCCACATGGCCACCAGCAGTGGTTTTTTTGTTGTTTCTGGAGGATCCCCGAGGGCAAGGATTCAATCTGATGGCTCCGCCAAATGGGGTTTGGCCAGGAGACGTCAGACACCTGTACCGCAGGGGCCTCCGGCACATGTTTAGCTTGATATTTTCTTCTTCGTGGTTTAGGGGTAATTAATTGAAGGTGGAGGTGTTACCAGCCCCTCGGACCCATACAGAGCCCCCTCTGGCCACTGTGGTGGCTCAAAACGCCGTGAGGTGGAATGGCCAATCGAAATTGGCCCTCCATGGCACTGCTGACCAGTGTTACCCACAGATACATACACTGATACACAGACACAACAACAACAACCGCCATTCACCACTAAGTGGCGGTGACGTCACCACGATGCTTGTGCCAGGCCAAGTGCACCTTGAGGCCACGTGAAGTGTCGAAAGCCCGCTGGCAGGTCACGGGGCAGACCCAGGTGCCACGGGTTGACTGACCGAGATGACTGGCTGATGCACCACCTGTGCCCCCTACTGTGCCAACTTGCTGTGCTTTAGCCACCCGGCGCTCCGCTCGTTGTTGTGAGCGTCGCTCCTCCGCCCTCCGTTGTTGTTGGAGGGCGACTGCCTCCAACTGCCCAGTAGCGTCCTTCACGAGCCTCCTCCACTGAGGCCGATCTTGACACTGCTGGTACCAGTCATCGGCAAGTCCACTCAGCTCCACGTCCTCCTGTACCACATCACTCCATCTCTTCTCCAGCCCGTGCCGCGCCCGTCTAGCCCCCTCAATCCGGCCGAACAAAAGCTGTTTAGGCATGCGGTGGCTGGGCATGCGGGCTACATGACTCAGCCAACGCAGCCTTGCCTGCCGGAGGAGCTCACTGATGGGACTTTGCCCAGATATTTCAAGGATTTGTGAGCTCCTCACACAATCCAGCCTGGTTAAGCCCAGGATGGATCGTAGGCAGGCCAGCCTAAATGTTTCCAACCGGCAAAGATGCTCCACCAGGGGGGTCCACGTCTCGCAAGCGTAGAGAAGGGAGGGAATGACCGTGGCCGAGAAGACCTGAAGCTTCGTGCGGAGCGACAGACCAGGTAGCTTCCACACAGCGTTACGCAACCGATGAAAAGATATTGCCGCTCGACTGATTCGGAGTGAGACCTCTGCTGATAAACTGGAGCCGGTCATAAGCACACTGCCCAGGTATGGGAAACTCTCCACTCTCTCCACAACTGCCCCATCACCAATTGGGAGTTGTGGGGGTGGAGTGTCCGATGGTACAAAATACCCAGGCAGGTGCTTAGTTTTAGTGGGGCTGATGGTAAGGCCCCACCTCTTAGTGGCACGCTCCAGTCTCAGCAGCAGCGTCTCCAACTCCTCTTCTGAATGAGCAGCTATTACCAAATCATCGGCATACATAACATGGTTGACCAATAGGGAGCCATCCCTTGATCGCACCCGGGCGTCGATCAGCCTCCCATTATATCTGTACCAAATGGAAATTCCCCCGGTACAGCTATTGAAGGCTTCACGAACTACGCGGTCAAAATAGATGTTAAATAATGTGGGAGCCAGAGGACATCCCTGTCGCACCCCAAGGTGTACAGGGAAAGGCTCCGACTCCCGGCCACGTAGTTTTACCCGGGCCCGCTCACCATCATGAAGGTCCTTAATGATCGTGAGCAGAGGGTCAGGGACTCCGAAAGCACGAAGAACAACCCAGAGCCCAGTCCTACTGATGGTATCATAGGCCTTGACCAGGTCAATAAAGCAGAGATGTAGGTCTTTTTGGAATTCCCTACACCTCTGCTGTAGCAGACGGACAGAAAATATGGCATCTGTGCAGGACCGCCCTTTCCTGAAACCGCATTGGGGCTCCGCAAGCTTCTCCTCAGCGTGCCTAGCAAGGCGATGTTGAAAAATCCTTGCCTGGACCTTACCCGGCACACTGAGGAGTGAGATGCCCCTGTAGTTGTTACAGTCGGTACGGTCCCCCTTCTTAAAGAGGGGGACCACCAGGGCATCCTTCCAGTCCTGCGGAACCCGTCCAGTGGTCCAGACTGTTGTTATGATGTCATACACAGACACACACACAGATACACACACACGCAAAAAAAACAAATATACCCCGTATAGCCTTAACATATTGTTGGGGCAAGTGCTATTAGCGAGCACCAATGATAGCCAGCATTGCACACAAGTGGGTGGGTGGCCAGCACCACGCCCGACCGCCTTTGTCTCTCTAGTAGTAATGTTTTACACATCACACCAAGTACTCATTTGAGTCAGAGTCGACCTAGGGGAGGCCCATAACCGGTTTGAATAACACTGACACACGCAGAAACGCGCACACGTAACACGACACGGATGTGCACAGAAACGATGCGTGACCAAGTGCACTCTGCTGATGGCAATGCGTCTCCCCCTCTCTGCTTCATCTCAGTGCGATGCCGTCCACGCTCTGCCAAGATGGCGATGCCCAAGATGATGATGATGAACTCGCCGGGCAGGTCGAGCTCGCAATATGACGTACACAACAGACAAGAAGACATGGAATGCGATTACATCGCTCCGGAGGCTCCGGCCAAACCGCCCTTCCTGGAGCTCGTCGACCGGCAGAGGGCCCACGGGGCCTGGGAGCTGTCCGCCCAGCTGGCCTCGGTCGTCCAGTCGAGCGTGGAGGCACTGCGCAAGGAAGCTCCTGCAGTGAGAGACTCCCTTCACTATCACTGGCTAGTAGTGAGTGTTTCTAGTGAGACTCCCTTCACTATCACTGACTAGTAGTGAGTGTTTCTAGTGAGACTCCCTTCACTATCACTGACTAGTAGTGAGTGTTTCTAGTGAGACTCCCTTCACTATCACTGACTAGTAGTGAGTGTTTCTAGTGAGACTCCCTTCACTATCACTGACTAGTAGTGAGTGTTTCTAGTGAGACTCCCTTCACTATCACTGACTAGTAGTGAGTGTTTCTAGTAAGACTCCCTTCACTATCACTGACTAGTAGTGAGTGTTTCTAGTGAGACCCCCTTCACTATCACTGGCTAGTAGTGAGTGTTTCTAGTGAGAGACTCCCTTCACTATCACTGACTAGTAGTGAGTGTTTCTAGTGAGACTCTTCACTATCACTGACTAGTAGTGAGTGTTTCTAGTGAGACTCCCTTCACTATCACTGGCTAGTAGTGAGTGTTTCTAGTGAGACTCCCTTCACTATCACTGACTAGTAGTGAGTGTTTCTAGTGAGACTCCCTTCACTATCACTGGCTAGTAGTGAGTGTTTCTAGTGAGACCTCCTTCACTATCACTGGCTAGTAGTAAGTGTTTCTAGTGAGAAACTTCCATCACATTTACTGGCTAGTAGTGAGTGTTTCTAGTGAGACCTCCTTCACTATCACTGGCTAGTAGTGAGTGTTTCTAGTGGAACTCCCTTCACTATCACTGGCTAGTAGTGAGTGTTTCTAGTGAGAAACTTCCTTAACTATCACTGGCTCGTAGTGAGTGTTTCTAGTGAGACTCCCTTCACTATCACTGGCTAGTAGTGAGTGTTTCTAGTGATATACACCCTTCACTTTCACTGACTTGCAGTGCCTGCTTGTAGCGAGTACTTCTGGTGAGAGGATCGCTTCACTTGCCCACTGGCTTGTGTGCTGCGGTGGCCAGGAGATGCTAACTCCCTATGACGAGTTGTGTGTGTGTGTGACGAGGTGTGTGTGTGACGAGGTGTGTGTGTGACGAGGTGTCTTTGTGTGTGTGACGAAGAGTTTGTGTGTGTGTCGAGGTGTATTTGTGTGTGTGACGAGGAGTTTGTGTGTGTGACGAGGAGTTTGTGTGTGACGAGGTGCAGGGCGTGAGCGACGAGGTGTGGGCCACGGTGGTGGCCCTGGTGTGGCTGCACGCGCTGGCCCCAGACCACCACGATGAGTGGGAGCTGCTGGCACTCAAGGCTTCAGCCTGGCTGCGCGGGCAAGGTGAGTGTGGTGAGGGTGACGAGGTGAGCGTACCGAGGTGAGGGTGATGAAGTGACCTTGATGAGGTGAGGAGTGGGAGCTGTTGGGTTTCAAGGCCTCGGCCTGGCTGTGTGGGTGAGTGTGGTGTGACAAGGTAAGCGTGACGAGGTGAGTAACAATGTTGCTGATGGTGATTATCTCGGCCTCGCTGTGCGCTGCGTTGCACCGCTAGTCGAGTAGACAACCATGTGTTCAATAAACCCTCGGAGCCAGGATGACCGTCCAACTCCGATCGTCATTTATTGATTGTAACAGGTAAAACTGGTGAGAAAACACAGATACAGCATCTGTTATAATTCGGAAACACCCACACAATGAACACCACAGCATCAGAACATTGTCTCAGATAACAATAGATCCTGGAAGGACCAGACCCCCACATTACCCCTGAACAACTAGACAAAGGCACAAGCTGGTGCGTTGCATACCGGCTATTAGTGTATTCATCCCACTGCACCCCAAATGTACAGCATTACACTTAACACTAAACTGTGGATGAGATACTTCGTCATCACTCTCAGGATCGCAACATAGGCACAAGTCTGACCCGACCTACTAAATCACAAGTAACATCCACAATAAGGAAAGTCACAGGCTTCGTTACTAACTAGGCCTCGTATTTACTACAACAACTTAACGGCACCATAAAGGCATTTACGTTGCTATAACGGTCATTCCAACATTACAACAGCATTTCCAATATTATAGGAATATAAACAACTTACAGATAATGCTTCTTAAGCTCCCACAATGGACAAGTGCGGCTGTGGTCTCACTGAGATGCGATGCGTGCCGCCATCTTGACTTATCTGTGTAATGGCTGACGCCCGTGTGGTACAGTGGAAATCTTACATCGTCACTTCCTGGTCACGTGACCAACATTAGCATCAAAAAACAGGAACTTCCTGTTAACGTACGCTCCCCATCTGCCGTGAGGCAAGACACTCCCCGTCTGGTATCTAGGAGATACCACCATTTATTTCCTATCTCATAAACAAGTGTATAACAACTTCAACGGGTCGACTTATTTGTCCATATCTTTGCGAGAGAGAAGTAGTACTATCTCGACTATGGGCCTGATGAAAGTTCTTGCAACTCCTTGCTTCGCAATCATAACCTCGACCTTTCGAACTTTTCCATCGGCACTTGGAATCGACTTGAGGATGCGACCCATTGGCCACTCATTCCGTTTGGCTTGGTTGTCCTTCAGTAGGACGAGGTCGCCTTCTTGGATGTCTGGTCTATTAGACTGCCACTTGTTGCGCACTTGGAGTGTCGTAAGGTACTCGTTTTTCCAGCGACGCCAGAACGTGTTCGCGAAGCTCTGCACTTGTCTCCATTGACGTCTGTAGAGGTCTGCAGTGCTGGTCTCCTCGGTAGGTGCTGTGAGCATATCTGTCTTCTGGGTAAGAAGTGTAGCAGGAGTCAAGATGAATGGTGACTCCGGGTCGGTTGAGACGGGGATCAGGGGTCTTGAGTTAATTATGGCTGAGACCTCGGCCATGAGAGTGGTCAAGACCTTGTGAGAGAGCCGTGTGGACCCGACATCACATAGCATGGAGTCGAGAATGCGTCGAGCAATCCCGATCATGCGTTCCCAGGCTCCACCCATGTGCGAAGAGTGGGGAGGATTGAAGATCAATGTACAGCCTTGGTCACTAAGGTATTTCCTGACAGAATAATCTTCGACATTCTCCGTATTGATCTTAAGCTCTTTACATGCTCCTATGAAATTGGTTCCACAATCAGAACGGAGTTGCTTGGCTGGCCCTCTGATGGCGAAGAACCTCCGGAGTGCATTTATAAAGCTCGAAGAGTCCATGGACTCGATGACTTCGATGTGCACTGCTCGTGTACTCATACAGGTGAACAGCACTGCCCAACGTTTGCTGTTCGCGAGCCCTCCTCTGGTGCGGCGGGAGATGACTGTCCACGGTCCGAACACGTCAATCCCTACAGAGGTGAAGGGAGGTTCCACACTGAGTCGATTGGCTGGGAGGTCTGCCATTTTCTGTTTTCCACGTAGCTTGCGACACCGGATACACTTGTGGATTGTGCTGGCGATGCACCTCTTTGCTCCAACGATCCACAGCCCTGCAGATCGGATTGCTCCTTCTGTGAAGTGCCGACCTTGGTGCTTGACCTTCTCGTGGTAGTGGCGCATGAGTAAGATTGCGATGTGGCTCTGGCTTGGGATTATGAGGGGGTTTCGTTCATTCTCATCTAATTTTGCATTCCCTAGCCGACCACCGATCCTGAGCAAGTCGTCTTTGTCCATCCCGGGGTTTAGCTTCCTGAGGGTGCTGACCCTAGGAAGGTCTTCTCCCTTGTTGATGGCCTTGATCTCACTTGCATAAGCTGCCTGTTGCACACAGCGGAAGATTGATTTCCTTGCTCTGGAAAGCTCGTCTTCAGTGTGTGGCACTGTGCAGTAATGCCATCCATTGCAGCTACCAGTGGTGCCTCTCATCGGGCGATGGAAGCAGTCTGCGATATGCGTTAAATGTGCTATCGCTCGCACGAGCATCGTCCATTTCGAGAAATGTTCAAAATGGTGTGGACTCAGTGGACTTCTTGGTCGCACATTTGTTACAAAAGTTGTCACTAGAGGACGAATATCCTTGTCGGACTCGGGCTCTATGAGTCCAAAGGTCTCCTTGGTAGTACATGGGCCACCGTCACATCGTAACAGGAACGCTGGACCCATCAGCCAGATGGTTTGATTCAGCAGAGATGCAGGGACGGACCTAGTTGCGAGATCTGCTGGATTCTGGTCAGTTGGAACGTAATTCCATTGCTCCGGCTGCGTCGATCTCCTGATGCGCTCCACCCGGTTGCTGATGTAGGTGTAGAACCTTCTGGTTTGGTTGTTTATGTAGCCTAGTACGACCTTACTGTCCGTGTAGAACTTGACCGCGTCCAGTTTGAAGTCAAATTCGTCTAAGATCAGTTCCGCCACCTCTGTAGCAAGAACCGCTCCACACAGCTCGAGCCTTGGGATGGTATGTTCCGGTTGTGGGGCCTTGCCGTGGAACTCCTTCCAGAATTCCCACTCGGACGATAGCTCCGAGTCGAGGAACGGAGAGGCCACGGTCACAGCGACCACCGCCACGACCACCAGCAGAGCGACGAGCAGCGGCTTCACCTTAGTCTTCTTCCCGTCAGTCAGGACTGGCTTGGAGAAACGTGGAGGAACAAACTCCAACGAAGACGGTGGATGTACAAGCGAAGTCATGGTGGTTTCTTCGTAAGTCTGCACGGTACAGCCTTGACTTCTCTCGCCGAGTTTCTCTTTCAGCGTGAAGTGGTTGGGGCACGGTTTGAAGAGCGACGTGCGTCCATTCGTGAGCACACTCGTTCTGAATGTGCTAATGTGGTCTGGTTTGTGTATTCCCTTCAGACAAACGTCACCTACGATGACCCATCCTAGGTCGAGTCTCTGGGCATAGGGAGCGTCGTGAGGTCCATTGCGTTGGTCGCGAACCTTGTGGACTCTCAGCATGTCCCTGCCGAGCAGAAGTAAAATCTGTGCCGCGTGATCCAATGGCGGGATGAACTCTGCTATGGGTTTCAGGTGTGGGTGGTGACGTGCAACTTGGGGCGTGGGAATCTCACTCCTGTCGTCCGGTATCTCGTTGCACTCTGTCACCGTAGGAAGGGCTAGCTTCATGGTGCTATCTATGGTTTCCACCATGAGGCCGCTCGCTCTTCTTCCCGCTGTCTCCATCAGTCCTGAGCATGTTCTGAGCGTGTATGGAAAGGAATTCCCACCTACACTTAGCTGATCAAAGAACTCTGACCTTGCCAAAGACCTGTTGCTCTGGTCGTCCATTATGGCGTACATTCTTACTGCCCTTTCAGGATGTCCTTTGGGATAGACTCGGACGAGGCATATCTTTGAGCAAGATCTTCCTTTGAAGCCTTCTCCACAGACTTCTGTGCATTTGGTTGTGATTGACGAAGTGAGTGCGGCGGTCTCGCCTTGCTCCCCGCCGTGCTCTGCTTCGGGATCGGAAGCCTTAGTGCTACTGGGATTCGAGTAAAATGTGTGCAGAGCAGTTGCGTGTTTGTCGCTGCCACATTCCTCGCACTTGATATCTGCCTTGCAATTCCTTGCAAGGTGGTTAGTAGAAGCACAGCATTTGAAGCACACTCCAAATTATTTCAGCATGTTCTTCCGCTCTTCCAATGGCTTCCTCCTGAACTCACGGAATTTCTGGAGGGAGTGAGGTTTATCATGCAATGGGCATTGCTTCTCTGGATCCTCTATCTTTTTCTTTGTGGTGGTTGCCTGGACGGCGTTTGCGAATGTCGCAGGAGAGACCTCAGTCTTGTGTACGGAAATTGGCACGCTCGCTGTTCCTCGTTTCGCCGTTGTCCTTTCCATTTTTGGGAGATCTGGACTGGAAATCCCCGTGGTGCCAAACATGAAACTCGGGTCATTTCTCGTCTTAGCCAGGTTGCGGATAAACTTTGAGAAAAAAGAGAATGGGGGGAATGCAACCTGATGCTCTGACTTGTATCTTGAACCCGCTGTTCTCCATTTTTCCTGCACGTCAAATGGCAATTTCTCTACGATGGGGTTCACGCCATGGTAGGTATTCAAGAAAATGAGACCTGGTAGGTAGGGATCAGCCTGGGCTGATTCAAGCTCCATCAAAAGATCTCCAAGCTCCCGTAACCTTTTATTGTCTCGACCAGAGAGTTTTGGAAAGTTCTGCAACTTCTTGAAGAGAGCCTTCTCAATGGTTTCTGGGCTACCATAGCACTCCTCGAGCCTCTCCCACACCGCATGCAGGCTTGAGGCGGGGTCGTCAATGTTTGCTGACCGGATCCTCTTTGCGTACTCTGCAGATTCATTTCCTAACCATTTCACCAACAGGTCGAGTTCTTCACTTGCAGAGATGTCTGCATTTCAGATTGCATTCCTGAAGGTAGATCTCCAGGCTCGATAGTTCTCAGAGTGGTCATCAAACTTAACGAGTCCTGTGTTGATTAGTTCGCGGTGAGCTAGGTACCTAGCAAAGTCTCCTAGTCCTGCTGATCCAGGGTGTGTCCATACTGGCGCTTGTGAGGCGGCATTATTGGCTGTATTGCCTAGCATGCCGTCATTTGCGATGGCGTTGGACTGTGGGCCCAGAGGGTTTCGATCACGTTGGTTGGATCCCCTTATGTGACTGTCTGAAATGTGGGTCTGACTTGGTGCATCCACGTCTGACCCCACGTGCGCGACGCTGAGTTGGCGACTAACTGCCAGAGCGGGATATGCATTTCCACCATTCCTGTAGACAGCATTCATGTTCATTCGGAGTGCAGATGGCAATGCCTGAACGTCCACCCTTTGTTCAGTATGGTTTGGTGGAGGAGCATTGATGCATTGTTCAGACCAGTCCAAAATATTTTTTCTGGTGAGTTGATCACGGTCCTTGACAGGTTTCTGAGTGCCAAACTCACTCCAATTCTCTTCCTTATCCAGGTTGGCTGCTGCCTCGAGCACCTCTGCCTGGGCCATTGCAGCAGCTGCTTCCCTTTTGAGTTGTAGGGTGCCTAACTTAGCATCTAACTCAATTTTCTTCCGTGTGGCAGTAGCCTCTAATATACTCTCTTGCTCTCGTGCGGCAGCAGTTGCTATGCTTGCTTCTTCTTGTATACGAGCCCTTTCAATTAGCATGGCTTCCTCTTCGGCCATGTAGGCAATACGGGCGTTTGCTGCTTCTGCTGCGGCGCGTGCCTGAGCTGCTGCCATACCAGTAGATGACATATGTGAGCGTGCTGAGGCTTTATATCTTGTGGTGGACCTGGATGAGACAGAGTGCTGAGATCGTGTCTCTCTTAAGCCCTCCACACGGTCCATTGCATCTTGTATCACTGCCTGCACATTATCATCGAGCAGTTCGAGGAAGTGCTCTTGTCTGCGCACTCCCTCAATGCCCTCATCTGTTTTCACCTTCATCAGGAGGGAGATGTATCTATTTGCCAGGAGCTTGTAGCTTGAGCTGCTCACATTCACTCGCTGGATGGCCCGCTGAATTGAGGCCACTGTGTCTGAGGCATTTGAAGCTTCAGATAAATCTGCTTCAACCCGGTTCCATGCCCGTTGTATCCTGGCATCCAGGTCCTGTTTCTCAGCCTCATAGCTTTCCAAGGCCCGTTGCGTCAACCTGACCTCCCTCTGGGGCCTTGAACTCCCTTGGTCCTCTTGAGGCAGGATGGGAGGTCCTGGATTGCTTAAATCATCTTCTTCAGCATCTCTCCCTGCTGAACTGTGGCTGTCCATGCTGCGATGCTTGCAACACGATTTTAATGTAGACTCGTTGCAGAGTTCCTTGCTTGCTGCAGGCTGACTGCTTGAGAGCTGGTTGCTTGCTGCAGGCTGACTGCTTGAGAGCTGGTTGCTTGCTGCAGGCTGACTGCTTGAGAGCTGGTTGCTTGCTGCAGGCTGACTGCTTGAGAGCTGGTTGCTTGCTGCAGGCTGACTGCTTGAGAGCTCTTTTCTTGCTGCAGGCTGACTGCTTGAGAGCTGGCTGCAGGGCTGGTTGGAAGCTTCAAGAAGACTATCTTTTTACTTGGCTGCAGAGAGCTGGCTGCAGCACTGATTGGGAGCTTCAGGAAGAATATCTTTTTATTTGACTACAGAGAGCTGGCTGCAGCACTGGTTGGGAGCTTCAGGAAAAGTATCTTTTTACTATCTCGGCCTCGCTGTGCGCTGCGTTGCACCGCTAGTCGAGTAGACAACCATGTGTTCAATAAACCCTCGGAGCCAGGATGACCGTCCAACTCCGATCGTCATTTATTGATTGTAACAGGTAAAACTGGTGAGAAAACACAGATACAGCATCTGTTATAATTCGGAAACACCCACACAATGAACACCACAGCATCAGAACATTGTCTCAGATAACAATAGATCCTGGAAGGACCAGGCCCCCACATTACCCCTGAACAACTAGACAAAGGCACAAGCTGGTGCGTTGCATACAGGCTATTAGTGTATTCATCCCACTGCACCCCAAATGTACAGCATTACACTTAACACTAAACAGTGGATGAGATACTTCGTCATCACTCTCAGGATCGCAACATAGGCACAAGTCTGACTCGACCTACTAAATCACAAGTAACATCCACAATAAGGAAAGTCACAGGCTTCGTTACTAACTAGGCCTCGTATTTACTACAACAACTTAACGGCACCATAAAGGCATTTACGTTGCTATAACGGTCATTCCAACATTACAACAGCATTTCCAATATTATAGGAATATAAACAACTTACAGATAATGCTTCTTAAGCTACCACAATGGACAAGTGCGGCTGTGGTCTCACTGAGATGCGATGTGTGCCGCCATCTTGACTTATCTGTGTAATGGCTGACGCCCGTGTGGTACAGTGGAAATCTGACATCGTCACTTCCTGGTCACGTGACCAACATTAGCATAAAAAAACAGGAACTTCGTGTTAACGTACGCTCCCCATCTGCCGTGAGGCAAGACAGTGATGTTGCTGATGATCATGACGATGACGATGTTGCTGATGATGTTACTGATAGCGACGATGTTGCTGATGATGACGATGTTGCTGATGATGTTGCTGATGTTTTTGATGATGACGACGATGTTGCTGACGATGTTACTGATGGCGACGATGTTGCTAATGATGACGATGTTGCTGATCGATGTCCTTCCAGCTGTGGACCTGACACTCTGCGTGAAAGCCGCCAATCAGCTGCTGAAGACGAACGTCGACGCAAGAAAGCTGTAGCCCAGTCGGTTACCTGGCAACCACCATGAGCTTCTTATTAACCGCTATCATGTACGTTACCATTCCCAATCCAAAACCAAAATCCTACACATCACCATCCCTATACTATAACCGTAATCCTATAAATGATCATCCCCACCTTATAACCGCTATGCTTATACATTAACATCAGCATCCTGTTAACCTCAATCCTATACATTACCATCCCTATACTATAACCACAATCCTATAAATTACTATCCTCATCCTATAACGACTTTTCTTATACATTAACATCAGTATCATCTTAACTCCAATGTTATTCCTTACTATTAGCATATCAGCCTTCATCCCCTGTCACTCATGGCCCGTCACCTCGTGTCTTCGGGCATCACTGCACCACCCCTACTGTAACCAGCACTGCCCTACTGTACCCTGCACAACTCCAACTGTACCCCACACCACCCCTACTGTACCCTGCACTGCCCTACTGTACCCCACACCACCCCTACTGTACCCCATACTGCTCCGACTGTACCCCATACTGCTCCGACTGTACCCCACACCACCCCTACTGTACCCTGCACTGCCCTACTGTACCCCACACCACCCCTACTGTACCCTACACCGCTCCTACTGTACCCCACACCACCCCTACTGTACCCTGCACTGCCCCTCCATGACGCTGTGCTCTGCCTCCACACCCCCCACCCCGCCGCGCTCTTTTCCATCAGTTTCTCAAAACAACCCATTGCAAGTGAATCGACGCATTTTTTCCTGGAGTTACGTCTCCCCCAAAAGTTTTGTTGGCGACGTTGAAGTGAACTGACGTCAATCAACGACTTGCTGTCAACAGTAGCAGCATCAACAGCAACTTCGTTTCCTTATTTGTGGGAAAAAAAACTAACCTTCGCATGACCGTCCTGCAAAAACAGAGGTCAGACTTTCATGGGTTAACAATTGTTATAAGAAATCATCGGCTTACGGGATGGGTGGGAGGGGTGAGTTGTATCCAGAAACATTTCTGGGTAAGACCGGAAGGTTTACGCATGTTGAGATGCAAAGCCATTGTCAGAGATTATTCCATGAGTGGTAGATTCAGTTCAAGTGTCTTGGATGTCTGGCCCCTGTAATTATCTGTGATGAAGCTCATAAACTAAGAAACTATTTTTTTATTTTACCAGGTGTAAGGCCCCATTGAGCTGTGCAGCCCTTTTTCAGAAGCCCTGACCTGGCTATCACAACGAAGTGGGCTTATCATCGCGTGGACATTTATAGCGGCAGCCAACTACTCTAAATGCGTGGTGTTGATTGTAAATGTGGAGGTAAAAAACAGATTAAAAAAGCCACGCGACCGAGAGAGACACGCAAACTCCAAATATCCAGCAGGTGTCAGGGTCTGGATCGAACCCACTAGCCACTGCATTTCACGCGAGTTGGTTAACATCTCTGAGCCATCGTGGCGCCCCTAATAATTGCCGCATTGGAGACACTCCAGAACCATAGGTGTCGAAAGATCTTGGGTTTGAAGTGGGAAAAATCACCCAAGGCTTAAAAAGCAAACCGATCGACAATTTATGCTAAATTAAGCAAGACGCTACGGGCTCCTTTGCATAATATTCCCCTGTCTCTCCGCGTTAAAAAATAAAAAGTACTTCTCATACGACCTACCCACCAGTCACACACGGCCTTCTGGAAGTGGGTGGTTTCAGCAGCATTGGTTCAGCAGAAGCAAAGCTCTGGACTGGGGTTTGCCATTTGGTGTCTCAGCAGCAGTAGCAGAGAGTCAGGCTCTGCCTGAACCAATGCTGGCGAATTGTCCAGATGTTCATAGACAAGGAACCCTATCTATACTCTATGGGGGTCTTAGTTTAACATAGGGTAATGCCTTGTTCTGAGCTGTGCAGGATTATGGTCTTGACTTTCTATACAAAGAACACTTTCGCAATTTCTCACTGCACATTTTGTAGTTCACACAGCGTCACGAGCTGTACCGTGATGGTCAAGTCAAAACTTTACGTTCGGTAACGCAATCTCTGCCTCAGTATGTGTTTACAATGATAAGTGTCATGTTCATAGTGGCCGTATTACACTGAAGTCATCAATGCCGAGTTGCTGAGTTCAAGACCTGGGTCTGGGTTTCTCAGGAGGTTCATAGTGGCCGTGTCCATAGACACTGAACCATGAATTTTGAGTGCCTAAGTTCAACACCCGCATCAAGGTGTCTCAGGAGGCTCATAGTGGCCGTGTCCATAGACACTGAAGCCATCAATTGCGTGAGCTTGAGTTCAAGATCTGGGTCTTGGTGTCTCAGGAGGTTTTGTAATGGGTCGTGTCAGGGACACTGAGCCAGCACTGCTGGGATCCTGGGTTCAAGCCCTGGAACTGGGATGCATCCCATTGCCTTCATGTCCACAATGGCCTATGTTAAAAACTGTCTAATAATACTCCGCTATAGTATTGTGCATTGAGGTGAAATTTACTCCAATGTCTGAGAATGGATTTAAACATGCGGCTTTACTTTCTTCTGTTCAGTGTGGTAAATGGGTTTCTTTGGTTGGTTTGCAGAGTTTACCATGGCTTTTGTTGTTGAATTTCTACGTTTAGAAGCTTCAGGAAAATAAAATGCAGTCGACTAAACTTCTCTAAGTGTGTTTGTTGCGTGAGTGTGCAGAGTGTGTTTGGTTGTACGGAGCATGTGTGTGCGGAGCGTGTTTGTGTATTAAGCGTGTGTATGCATGCGGAGTGTGGGTGTGCAGTGTATGTGTGTAAGAAGTGTGTACATGCTCTCAATACTCCAGCAATCCCAATAATCGCAATACTCCAGCACTGTCAATACTCTCAATAGTCCAGCAGTCTCAATACTCCAGCATTCAATATTCCAGCACTCCTCAATACTCTCAAGACTCCAGCACTCTCACTCCTCTCAATAAATCACGACGTTTCGAACGCAACACAAGCATCCGCCATCAGGCGAAAATGGCGAGAAAGCTGCTACGAACAAGGGGTTATTTCAGTTTGTCAGTATTACCTTGTTTTCGCAGTATTGCTTCAGAAAGGTGAGCGACTCGATCATGTGAGCCTTCTTGTCTCGTAGTCTGTTAAACGCTCTAACAGATATGTAAAAACCCTCCCTGTAAAGGCGGTTCACTCTTGATTACGCTTTTGTGACTGTAGGAATCCAAACTCTTTGGTTCTTCCGGTAAAGCCACGTAGGCAGAAAATACGTGGCTTTACCGAAAGAATCAGAGAGTATGGATTCCTGCAGTCACAAAAGCTTCAAATCAAGTTGTAATTACTGGTGAAACGTCGTACTCGAATTGTATGCTGTGCTAGCAACTAATTGGCATGTTCCCTTTATATTCATGCGATCTTACCCCAAACAAAAAAAGCTATATTATGGACCATTCATTAACCCCGCTGTGCGGCCACGAAAATTTTGCCCCTACAAAAAAGTAGTCCGAAGTTCGGTGCTTGGGCGGAACCCCACTGACCCAGGTGACAAGAGTGGCTTGGGGCAAAGTTCGGTGACACTTTGCGAAGGGTTTCTCGTGTGACCCGGCTCTTTGTGTGTGATGAGTGACCGAATAGCAAGGGGGGGGGGGGTTCGGTCTAAAATCGGCAGTTTTCAACATTTTGTTGGCTGCTGTTATACCCTCCAGCCCCCTCCTCCTGGTTGAATTTTGTTTCAACAGCGTTACCACCCTTTCCTTGCCTGACCCCAACGTAGTCCTGAGAAATGAATGTTATGAATAAAAGCAATCCTCGGTTTACACACTTTTGTAGTGTGCCATTTTGCAACAATGCCGCGCTTTGTATGTAGACCTTTTATTGACACGCGCAAAGTATTTTTCGGAATAACGCCATCCGCACTGCGACACACGCCACCCTGGCAACGCAAGCGAATGGTGTTAGCCAGCGGCCATTCGATTACTAGTGTGCGACACTGTACAGCATCTCACCGTGCGTGCACACCGGCGCGCTCTTCCCTTTGTCCACAACGCAATGCCAGAGTAGGTACAATGTTTAGGGGACTAAAAGGAGAAATACACGTTACACAGAGCTATTAAAGATGTATAGAATAGTTGCTGAGATAAATTAGAAAGAGAACAAACAGGTTGTAAAGGGATAATTAAAAACACAGGTGGCCAGATGTCTAACATCCGGAGAGGAAGGGGCACAGGTGGTGAAATGAGAGGGGACTGTAGCAAAAGAACACATCTTCTTGGTTCTTTCGGTAAAGTCACGTAAAGTCACGTCTACGTGACTTTACCGAAAGAACCAAGAAGATGAATCCCTGCAGTCACGAAAGCTTTAAATCGAAACAAAAGAACACAGTTGGTGAAGAATTAAGGACCGAGAGGGAGATATAAAAGTGGAGCGTCGCTGGCAATAGGCCTACCGATATATGCCAAGATAATATAAGCGATTATGTCTGCGAGTGACATATCCGAAACCCTCCTTTACCATAATTTCTTATGGGAAAATTGCTTTTGACAGACGCGATTTTGATATACTCGTGCTTTTTGAGGAACGCATCTATCGCGTATGTCAAAGAGTGCCTGTAATGAACATCAATATTTTGACCAATTGTCCATTTTGTGACGTGTATCCTAACTAGCTGCTAGTAACTGCAAGTGAATACAAAAATTAAACGAATGTTCCGCATAGTACAACGCAATTTGTTCGCGCTTGCTGGTTGCTCTTGCAAACCACATTGTTTACCATCAACTAGTTTAAAAAGGTCTTTTCGATCGTTCTATGTTATACCATATGGATACAAATGTTGTAGTTAGTTATAGACAAATTCATACAACGCGATTATCCACCAATGAATCTCATATAGAATAAAGAAAAATTCACATTTATAAATCACCTGATCATGTACCTCCTGGGACACTGCCACGTACTCCCCAGGTGTCCGCGTACCCCCGGTTGCGAACCACGGTGTAGTGGATGGTAGTGTATATTGGAGAAGTGGATAGTAGTGTTTAGTGTAATGTATAGTGGTGTTTAGAGGTGTAGTGTTTAGAAGTGGTGTTTCGAAGTGTAGTGTATAGAGGTGTAGTGTATAATGTATTGTATAGAAGTGTAGTGTAGTATGTATAATAGTGTATAGTTGAAGTTTTATGACTCATGTATCCAATTTAAACACATTTATAAATGACCTCACGTATCCCCTGGGATATTGCCATCTAACCCCCCCCCCCCCCGCCCTGCGTTCGTTGAGAACCACTACAGTCTAAGATAGTCCGAGTGTGTATATGGGGGTGAGAAAATGTTAGTGTAAAGATGAGAAAGAGAACAATGGTGCACATCGGCTCATGGTTGTTCTCTTTTTGCC